AAAAAATCAAATGAAATGGGTTCAATTTATAGATTCCATGTGTTTATTATGAATTAGTGTACCTTACATGAATATACCAGAACAATTTGTTAAGACAATTTCACATGATGAAATGATTTAGATGATTGTACCCTATGATAAGGTCCAAGAGACCATGGCTCTTTAGAGACTTATTTCAATTCACACATAAAACCATTAAATAACCCATTTATTTTCAACAACCGCTCATATAAATGGAAGAAATCAACTCAGTACAAGAAAGACGAAGAAGAGTCTAACTAAATGATAATGTTAGGTAGGTAGCTTTAACTTCTAACCTTCCGTAGTAAAAGTTTATCGAACACACTTGGGTAATCAATGAACTAACATTTTAGATTATCGACCGTCACTATAAGTCTAGACAATAGATTTAGCACATTATAGTTCACATCAAACTTGGTTTCTATTTTCATTATTTTAGCCATGAACTCTCTTTGATTCCTCAAGTGTATTATACAATTCGCTTAAGTAAAATTTTCGTAAAGAATAGGTCTAACTAACACTTACATATGTAATGTACTATCAAGAGTATCCTACAATATATTCCATGTCAAGATTCACCGGCTTATGTGAAGCTTTACATCTTTCTTTGCAACACAAATACCGCATTGCTGCATGATTTTTGTAGATGATCACTTTGGTATCAAATATGAAAATGAAAATTTTTAATCAGCCTTAAAGGAGAAACTATTAAGTAGAAAAATAAAATTCACTCATACATACTCTAACGACATATTTTACATGCTGTACCTAATGTGACAGAGCATTATGGTATAAAAGATTTAAACAATTTTCGAATACTATATTATTCATTAGTTTAAAGAGTAAAGATTCAATTAGTGAACGATATCATTTAGAATGATTATAAGTTTGGATGGTGGGTGTCATAACTATCGACGAAAACAATGGCCCATACAATCCGCTAACGACTGAGGCCCAATCTATCCTATGGCTAATCAATTGGTTTATAGTTACACGCCAACCTGTCGAGTAAGAGCGGTATTTAGGATTTAACTTTTTTCAATGATTTTTGTAGAAATCAATGTTGGACTTTACGATTTCTAGATTGAAAAAATTGGGTTTTTAACTTTCCTAATTTTTATCTTAATGTTGTCATATTTTAAAAGAGGGTAATTAACGTAAAACTCAATGACCTTTGTCTCTATTGCGAAATACCTTCTATCCTATCAATTTGACAGAAAATCTCCCTAGACTACGTTTAACTTGTGGAAGACCACTTACCATCCAAAATTCATTATTACACCCATTACATCCACTTAAAGATGCCAACTATTTAAAGGGGGAAAAAAAAAAAGAACAATTGCATTTGTTGTCCCAAACTTTCCTTTTTTTATTCAGATTATATCCAAACATTTTATTTTTGCCAACTACAATCCCAAACTTTTGAAACTTCTTCTTGTTTCCTAGTCCAACCTCCACCATATCCTACCTTATCCTCAAAACTTCATCTTCTTCCCAATTTTGCCTCCACCCCAAAACCAAAACCCTGAGATGGAGTTCTTCCTGTATGTAGGACTTAAAAAGATATACCATAGACCGAAAATGTTGTTAACACTAATACAACCATTCCCTCTCTTCACTATCCGAAAAAAGTGTTTTGGGTTCGATGCTGCGCTCGAAGTTCGAGTTTGATTCGCCAGCTGTTAAACTAACTGATTTGTGGCAGTGCAGTGTCAGCAACCTCCTCTTTAACCACTTCTTCACTTTCCAATGCTATTCTTCTGCCCGCAACAATTTTGTCTTCATTAAAGGAGGGCCAACTCGTAGACATTCCCTTCGATTGACTCAGTTGGAGCCATGCCCTTTACTCACCATTGTCTCTACTCTCTATCATTTCGTGTCTTGACCACTACTTCCACCGAGGATCTATCTAGCTCTATAGGTCACATCTCTGTCCTCACTTACGCATGTCAGACAGTATTTATTACACGTATATTTAAGTTTGTCGGTGAAATTTTTTTCTTGTTCATTCTTATAAATTCACCAGGAAAATGATAAAAATTGGACTTCCCAATAGAGATTGAAAATTGCACCAGTAAGAGCATCGACTTGATGATTTTCGGATGATAATATAAAGGAAGAGCAGATTTTTAGCGACTAAAACGGAAATAAACTGTAAAACTACAAATTTGGGAAGAATATATATACTTGCGCTAAGAAGGAGTTTTTTCAAGAAAGTAAATTGGAAATTTACACTCAAGAAAAACTCAATGGAATTCGTTTCTGGGTTGCGGTTTAGGGTGGGGTGAAATTGGTGAAGAAGATGAAGTTTTAAATGTTTAGGATGATAACAGGTGGCAAAAGTAAAAGGTTTGAATATAATCTTCAAAAATAAAATAAAATGAAATAAATTTGAAACCACGACTACAATTATTTCTTTTTAATTTTGACCTTCTTTTAAGTAAATTTAATGACTCTAGTAACAAACTTAGACAGTAGGAGGGTCTTTTGATCATACGTTGGTGTCTAAGTTGAACTCAATATATGTATATACTTTTTTTTTAATTGGCGAAAACATATAAATTGGTGGTTTATCTTCAGCTCATGACCAAGGGATTTACTTTGCATTCCAAGAGTGAAATGAAGATTAAGCATGGGAGTCTTTGGCTCCATTCCGAAGAGTAGTGGATGTTGAATTTTGTACCAAATAATTTTTCGTGGGCGAATGATGTAAATCGAGTTGGACTTGAAATAAGTTTCATACCTCAATTGAAAAAAAATAAAGAGACCCGAAAAATCCTGTGAAATCATCTCGTTAAGTTTTATTTCTAATTTGTGGATTATTCTGTCGTTGCTTAGTGGATAGTCTTGAGTTATTTGTATTCGTTATCGAAGAGTTATAGATTCGAGTTGGAGATTGAAAGTTTGGGCAAGGTGGTTGAGGATTAATTCTTTGTCGATTAGGAAAACTGAGCCCAATGGCTAGTTGTGAAAGAAGAAGACTGCTCAAGTTATTTTTTGGTTGTGTTATTTGATTTCTTGTGATTATTTGTTTTAGTGGAGAAAAAGTTTCTTATAAGTCCATTTTAATTTTTTGTTCAAATTTTAACAAGTCAACATTTATTTAGTAATTGCAATTTAGATTGGGATTTTTCGTTCCTAGCAGAATTTTATTTTATTTTTTTAAATATTAAGTTTGGAAGCCCATGAGTTTTTCCCTTCTTAGAGATGTACTTATATTATTTCAATTGTTGCTTTACACTTTGCACTTGATGAATTTTGAGATCTAAATTTGTATAAACAATTGAATCTAAAGTTTGATTCTAATTAATTCATGTACATCTATATTACTTTCATGAATTATCATCATATATAATAAACCATCAAGTAATTTATAAAACTGAAGCAAAAATTCAAAAGTTTTATTGCAGTTTTGACAACATTTATAACCGTCTGAACCTTTCTAATAGTATTTAATCCCTCCCCACGAGTATCATAAAAGAGTACTTTATATCCGAACAAGTAAAGAAAATAATTCTTTAAATATATTTATTTTGCTATATCCAATAAATATTGGCAAAGTGTATGGGGCTTTGAAATCATGGCCATGTGGTCAGCATCTTCTATCTCTTTCACGATTGTCACTCCAGTATTTTTAATTTCCCAGTGTTGGAACTCTGGTGATATGGCTTTATCTTTACCAGTTATGATGTAAGCACGCTTTACGAATCCAAACCTTTTATTGGAAAATGGGCTCCTATTTGACAAATCTTGCATAAAGAGAGATGCCGGCCTCACTAATGATATTGCTAATGCGACATCCTGCCATAATGAATTAAAAGCACATGTTAGTCAATTTATAGCAATGTTTCGTTTCAACTACTCCACTTTTCCTTTGCTCTAAATTATCCATTAAACTTTTATAATCTTTTTTATTTTTTTTTTCTCTCAGGAATTTTATTTGCTAAATTAATGGAAATGTTAACTTGAAAAAATCTGGTAATGCACTATTATTATCATCATGCTGGATAAAAACTAGTGTTTGGAAAATCAAAATAGACCAGCCAAATTGACCACTATACATTTATATATTTTATTTTACCTCAGCTGGGGAGAGTTGATATATTCTGGATGATATGTACTGCGGACCAAAGAGTATTGATTGGAGGTGATCTTCGGGTCTACCAAACGGTGCGAACTGAGTGTCCGAAAAATTTTCCGCCGGGGTCCGTGCAAGGTACTGCCAAACAAGTTAATTAAAGTAAATTAAGTGAAATGTACTAACAATGTCTAATTCTAGGATAACAAGATATTCCTATGTGTATATAATTTTACCTTTTCCAAAACATAGGATGGCCTATGTATAGTATCAGGCATTGTAGCCCCAAGAAAAACAGCCAGAGAGATCTTTTCCGGGTATTTCTCCATTGCAAAAGCCAAGTTCAAACCACCAAGACTATGTCCAATTAGAACTACCTTTTCATCTGGTGGAATCGACTCCATTACCTTAAATAACGGCAGCGTATAGTCGGGAAATGTGCAAAGTTCATCCAGGCTTCTGGGGTCAATGCACGAGGCTGAAAGGTCCAATACAGTGACGTAGTGGCCGGCTGCCTTCAGCAGCGGTTGTAGCTTGTACCAGCTCCAAGCTCCAAGGCAAGCACCATGTACGAGAACAAAGTGCCTTTGTTGCTTTTCTTCCATTCTTTTGCTTAGTTCATAGGAGCTTGCCGTGTATGTAGAAACTGTACACACGGAAGCTATACAAAATAGACACAACAGAGGGTGGGTGGGGGGATTTTTTGAAATTTTTCTGGCAAAGTTCTGTGGAACAATTTTCTATACAAATGGAAATATCTTAGTTCGTATGTATCTTACCCCGAAATATATCTGTATATATACATAATTGTGTGGTAGTCAGAGAAACTGGGGGGATGGCATTGCTATTTGGTAAGGTTAGTCAAAACCAGCGCCACTACTAATTTAGGCCACGCTATTTATGTCGTAGACATACTAGTGATTGTTTAGGAATTTCAAAATCAATCACAAACTAATGAAAACGTATAGATCAAAATTAGGTAAACTTGCAGCCATATATGATTTCATTTTATTGAATGTTTTATTAGTAGCGATAGGTTGAACTAAATAAGTTAAAATAAAATAAAAAGGTTCCCACAGTCAGTCGTGTTTAATTTTACTTTTAAAATTTTAAACTTCAATTTTATTGAAGAAATAAGTAGCGGTTATTTGTTGTTTCCATCAATTACGTAATGCCTTCTCTCAAACATACTCAATCATAGTAATGGCCTCAAACAACATGTTGTGTGTCTACATTTCTTGAATAATTATTTTGTTTCTATTTCCTGATTAGGAAATCTAAATATTTTCTTAAACAACCAATTGTCAATTTGAAAAGTCTGCCATCTCAATATTTGCAGGTAAGGCACATGATACTATTGGATTGGAATGATATAATTAATAGCCCACACATCCCCTACCATGTGTGCTTATCTGAATCAACCACCCAATATCTTTTGTATTTTGGACATCTCACACTACTGACCACATGCTTGACTTAGACTTGAGTCACCAACCCCCATCCCCCCTTTTGTGTGTATGTGTGTGTTTGGTGAAAGTAAGAATCAATTCTATTTCAATACCTGGTATTTTTTTTATCAGCATAATGAGATTTAATTCCATGATAAATTATTGGAACCCTAGTAGATTCTAGAGTGAAAATATCTATGCTAAATTTAATACTTATGAAAGTATAAATGACATGTTTCGTATGATAGACGTTACTGAATTGTACAACTAACTACTTGTCAGTTACAATAACCATCTTTATATTCATTAATATTTGTCAACTAATGATAGACTTAGGAAGGCTTTATTTAGCTTCATTATCATTAAAAACAGATCAAGATCCTATAGCGTAATCCATGAAATTAGTTGTGGTGCTTGTTTTGCCTAACCTTACCAAATATCAATGCCAACAACGCCCCCCCCCCCCCCCCCACCAAACCCCCCCCCCCCCCCCCCCCCCCCCCCCCCTCTCAATAATATACAGAAATGACACTGAGGGAGAGGTTCATTATACAAGAAAAAATTTGTAGAAAGTTAGGACCAGTATGAAAGAGAATTAAATTTGAAATTGATGAGTAGATGTCCATTAATCAGAAAAACCATTGTAGAATGTTAGGACCATGTAAAAGAGAATTGTTTAAAACGTGAAATTCAAATGCGAATAGGTGTACAAAAATAAAATTAAAAAAAAAAATGAAAGATAGATCATCATGTTCATGCAGAATTTTAGTGAATCATGTGTATTATCTAATAAACCTCAACTTATCTAATAGAACTTGATTTAATTCTTGCATAATCAGCGAATTTATCTAAAATAAGTTCTTTATGTCAGAAAATTGATATTACAATCAAATTAAGAAAACAAAGGAATAGATGGAGATTAAATTGAAGTAATGTATATGATTACAAATCCCCTTTTGAAATATTTCACCCTGCACTTGATGCATGTTCCTCAAAATATTGCACTTCTTTCCAGACTAACACAATAATAACCTTGACGGGTGAACTGCAATTTTATAGTACCCTTCTTGCATGTAATAACAAAGAAACTGAAATCTCAAATATTTGAATTTATGTCAAACTCAAAAATTATTTTTGATATAACTTAGGATTGAAGAATTTCGAATCAATTAACTTGTTTGGGCTGCAGAAAATCGTATGAAATGAGTTCAATATATAGATGTCATGCGTTCATTTTGAATTAGTGCACCTTTTTACACGAATCCACGTGAAGTATTATATCATACAATTTTAAATGGTGACATAGTTTAGTGGTTCAAATTGCACCCTATGAGAAGGTTCACAAGACCATGGTTCTTTAGCGTGCACCCATTCTATTGAAAAATCACATCCTCACATCGTACTTTCGTGACTTATTTTATTTCGAACATAAAAACCATTAAATGATCCATCTATTTTCAACAATCGCTCATATGAATAAAAGAAGTCAACTCAGTACAAGAAACATGAAGAAGAGCCTATCTGAAAGATAATGCATTAGGTAGGTATCATTAAATTCTAACTCTTGCAGTAAAAACTATCAGCCATCATTGCAAGTCTAGACTCTAGATTTAACACATTATAGTTCACATCAAACTTAGTTCTCTATTTTAATTATTTCGACCCTGAAGTCTCTTTGGCTTTGCAAGTGTTTTATAGAATTCCCTCTATTTTAATTATTTCCACCCTGAAGTCTCTTTGGCAATTATTTCTACCCTGAAATCTCTTTGGCTTTGCAAGTGTTTTATAGAATTCCCTCTATTTTAATTATTTCCACCCTGAAGTCTCTTTGGCAATTATTTCTACCCTGAAATCTCTTTGGCTTTGCAAGTGTTTTATAGAATTCCCTCTATTTTAATTATTTCTACCCTGAAGTCTCTTTGGCAATTATTTCTACCCTGAAATCTCTTTGGCTTTGCAAGTGTTTTATAGAATTCCCTCTATTTTAATTATTTCTACCCTGAAGTCTCTTTGGTTTTGCAAGTTTTTTATAGAATTCCCTTAAATAAAATTCTCATAAAAATAGGCCTAGATTTGACGTATTATCAAGAGTATCCTATAATATATTCCACTCGAACTTTTTAAAAATATATTCATTTTTAATGCTCATTATTAACGTAACGCCTATCCTCAACAAACTTTTATATGCATCAGGCATCACTTATTTGCATAATATGAATTGGAGTTACACATATAAGTGCTTCTCGTTGAGTTATTTATCCTACTTAACTTAGTGTGAGATTTCCAATTTCCATGTTGAGTTTCCATTAAGAAAATTCTTAAGTAAGATTCCCATTTTCGTTGATGCACATTCTATTCGCTCTATGGATAACCATTTCTAAATAAATCCACTAAGTTATCATTTGACTTAACAAAATCAATTAATAATATTCCATAACGATATTGTGTCTACGATGTATATCTCTTCACTTACTATTATACAAAATTTTCTACTTTGGCTATTGTTGCTTGATTACCAAAATTTAAACATATGGTTGGCATTAACATTGGCCATATTTGAATGAGCTATTAAAGTTTGCTTAGGATATTTTGAAGATACATGACTAATATAATTGGATTCATTTGTTTCTGATATCCAACTAGTTTCGTATCTTTCAACTACATGATATTTTTCATAATTTAATGATCTTTATTTAGATTGTTACAGTACCAAAATGTTATTATTGAAGTGCAAGAATGTTCATTACCTAGATCGCTCATGTATTCACTTAAAATAATTACTGGTCAGTTGTATTTGGCCTTGTATGATTCATAAGGCTCATAGCCTTTGTTATAATTCGGACCGAATCTGAAACCACTTTGTTGAAAACTGAATAGTTCTTATACCAATTTGTTAAGAATTCGCCAAACAATTAAAGAACGAGAAAATATGGGCAATGAAAACAAAGAAGAACATAAGATTTATGTGGCGGAAGAGGAGAATTTATTATACCAATAAACTAAAATTGTCTGTAAAAAATTTAATTCTGTCAATTTAAATCTAAACAATTCTCTCAACTTTTCAATGTAGATAACAATGATCTAATTGTTATCTTGAGCTTTTTGAAGAGCCTATACCTCATGGAGTATTTATAGGATTCAAATTTTGGAATTATCGATGAAGTAGAACACAAAAACCAGATCAAAAACCAACTGGGAGTAAAACTCCTCCTATATACATGGCACAACAATTTTGAGGCCCTGGCCTTGCTGGACTAAACAGCGCTCGCCATCCATGATAATATTTGATTCCTTTTCAATTCAGACAATTCTAAACGAAAAAATTTCAAGCTTCCTCCATGAATCAAACTTCCAAATCACATAGAATTTGAGTCACAAACATAATAGCCTTTGTATGATTCATAAGATGTAAGTATTATGCTCTAGATTTAATCAACTTTGAATAGAAGCACTTTTAATATATAATTGATGCATTTTATTTATGGTAGATCTATTATTTAATTTAAATCTGGAGATTTAAGTCTCAATAATTTGTTAATTACAAGGAATTGAAATCGTGAAATACAAATTACATATGACTAAATCTTAAATCATCCCTAATCACAAGTAATAACAAGATACGGATATCGTTATTATGGATAGACCATCATGTATGATATTTCTTAATTGTGAAGTAAGTAGTTGATCTCAAAAAATAAAGTGTGGTGACACTTAAATGAACACGTGAATGTTTTGTTCTATAACAAAATATTGAAGACCCGCTCAAAAAATTTCACATGAATAACTATTTGAGTGTCAGTGGTTAATTTCTAGCGTTCGGTAGAGGAATTGGTCCTTTAATTTAAGGTCATCATATTTCCATATATGAGTATAGTCATACTTCGGTGATATTAGATGTTGCTTTGTCAAGGGTCGCTAAAATGATATAGTTTGACTATGTCATGACTCATACGAAGATTGTGAATGATCAATAGGGGCTTCGTCACACTTAGAGAGTAAGATATTATGATCTTCATTTTGTTCAATTATGTTGATAACAAAATTCTTAATCAGGGTGTACTCATAAATCAAGAAGGAGTTCTCGAATTACATTGACTTAAAGTGAGATTAAAGATATGATTGATAATTGAGATCGACACATATCTATATCTCGTAATTGATTTGATTATATTGATGAAATGATTATAGTTTTACAGTAAATAAACATTTGGTTTTGTCACATCACAGGATATTTTTGTCACATATATAGCCCTGACACTTTATTAGATGTCAATCTAGGACGACTCATGTGAATT